TCTCTCTCTCTCTCTCTCTCTCTCTCTCTCTCTCTCTCTCTCTCTCTGTCTCCCTTTCCCTAAATATTTCTCTCCCGATATTTACTTAATTATTCGCGAATCGCAGAACCTTCGTCGCGAATAATCTCTGTTATCGATTTTACTGATAATGTCCTAAGCATTCAGATCGAACAATAAGACTTTGACGCGCTCTGAGTTGACCAATGAGCCGACGACGCCCTTTGACGATTCGCCGAGGAATGTACGATGATACGTCGCAGTAATCAAGCCAGATATTTTTATTAAAAAAATATAATTTATTTTACGTCAACGCAGCACGAGTGTGCGCGCGGACATACGACGAATAAATAAATAAATGGCAAGGACGCGTCACGTTTCACGGGATTTCATGGTATGGGTATTGGTCGCCGTTGTACTCAGGTGCCCAGCCTCTGTAGGGCGAGTTGACCTCTTGCTCCGACCTGTGCCAGTGATCGTGGTGAATTTCATGCGGCTTTACAACCCCGTAGGTAACCCTCGGCGGCGGTGGCGGCGCGAGAAGGGTCTTCAGAATCACTGCGCCGGACAGCAAAAGCGACAAGAAGGCACCACCCAAACTCTTGATGCCTATTAGGCCAACCACGGTGATAAGAATAGGCAGAACAATCAAAGTCTTGAACTTCAGCAGCAGCAATAGTGGTAGGATCATCTTCTTCAGCCTGGTGCGCGCTGCAGGAAGTGATATGGTAAAGTATCTTCAATTGTCAAATTGTCGTGTCATCGTTATTTTAAGGTAATTTGTAACCCATTTATTTCTATTAACTGGAAAACAAGCCAGCTGTATATTTGATAAGAAATAATCTATATAATAAAGAAATATATAAGACATTATTATATCGCGAGATGTATACATATAGTAAAAGAAAAATATTATTTATTTTCTTTAAAATAATATTGTGTATATATATATATTACTAGGAAGATATTATATTTTATTTAGCAAGAATATATAGCATATAAAGATTATACTAAGAAAAAAAATATCTAAGAAATAAAAAATATTTATTCGGTGGATACTGATAACATATTTAATTATGTTAATATACGTATTTTTAAACTGAGAAAAAGTGTCTTCAATAAAAAAATCAAAGATATATAAGAAATAGAAAACATATATATATTTTCTTGAAACTTCTTAAAACTTCTCATGAAAATAATTTATTACTTTACTTATTCCATTTATATATTAGTTCCATTTATAAAATAATTTATTATTTTACTTATTCCATTTATATATTAGTTCCATTTATAAAATAATTTATTATTTTACTTATTCCATTTATATATTAGTTCCATTTATAAAATAATTTATTATTTTACTTATTCCATTTATATATTAGTTCCATTTATATATTAGTACCGACTAAATAAATATTTTTTTATTTAGATATTTTTTCTCTTAGTATACAGATTTTCATGTCTTGTTTTTATTATCGATTAGCTCTCTAACGAAGAATATAAAATGTTATATATTTAAGATCTCCACGAAACGCGGGCTGTCGCGCGCACGGATGACGATGAAACTCGGAGAGAGAACATACGCGGACGAGGTAAATAAAATCTGTATTAACTATCAACTATAACGGAAATGTAGGGCGCGATTAACATCGGCGAATCGATAATCACAGGATGCCACACGGCGTAGCATCGAGCAACATTTCTAGAAGACTCTAAGCGGACGTTCATCATCCAGTCTACTTTCTTCGACGTGCGACACTCTCGTTCAAGGTCCTTCTTAGATGTCTTCTCGCGGTAGCCGTCCCAGAAACCCGGAATCCCACCAGAACGTTAGTAACCCACTTTGGCTCACCCCCCTCCCCCACCCACGGCGTTTGTTTTCGCGGATGTGGGTAGAAGTGGGACGCGTCGTTGTAGCTTTCTATGCACGAATCTCCTCGTTCCGGTCGCTCTCACTTCCCTCTCTCGACGAGTCCCGTCGACGGGCGAGTGACGTGCGCGAGTCCGAATTTTTCAACATTTTCAGGATGTTGCGCGACGAACATCGCACTTGTGGCAATGAAAGGTAAGGGAGAGAGCGAGGAAAAAAATCCAGGAGAATTTACAAATTACAAGAAAAAAAAGAAGGGAAGCTGCACACCAGAGAGACGCGGAAGATGCGCGCCTACCGCGATCCAATCGACGTGAAAGATGCGGCGAGTTATACTTTCCAGCCAATGAATTCCGGGACTCGTGAGCTACTTCGCGCTCATTGGTAGAACTTTAGAAAGGTGAGACGCTATAAGTTTGCGCCCAGTGAATGATGTATGCATACCGGATCGAAGGAGAGAACGAAGCGATTCTATGTTAGAATCCAAGAGTCTTGTGTGTTAACATCGATCATTTAGACGTGGAAGATATGTTTGCGGAGGATATACAGCTTGCTTTGAGATCGCAATGAATTGGTTGAGCATAGAAAAGACAGATCGATCGGATAAATGAACTGCATGGATGCTGAAGCGTTTTACACCATTGTCGTAATTGTGTAACGCGTGAGGAAATGCTACATGATTTATGTAATATTAGATATTTATATAATATTATATAATATTAGATAGTATTCAATACACTTAATATATTGTAGTGTTTAATCAATTATCACTCGTCGTTATTTCAAAATAATGAAGCTTATCTTTAAAAAATTTACAATCATTTCTTGATGTATAAGAATATAGTAATAATTAATGCAATCAAGTACAAATTAATTTCCCAAGCACTATGACCGTGGGAAGATATTGCCTCCTTCCTTGAAATTATTCGAGCTATTTCTTTAACAATGTAATCTAATGCAGTTTTTACCGATGCTAGGCGCGTCGTATTGTGCAAATCATATTTCTCAAACTACAGTATAATTTTAAGACTTTATATAATTCCGAAGACGATACACTTGTCTACATGCCAAATGCATTTTCCCAAATCATTGTAATCGCTAGCTCATTATGTATGCGAACTTCAAGATAAATGCAGTCGTCCAATTACTCAATTACATAAAATTGTCTCTAATTTGCAAACTCTACAAGGTTCTCTCTAAGTTCCGTTGAACTTGAAACAAGACGAATCCTTGATCCCGTTTCTTCCTCTTATCCCCGTTTCTACCAACGTCAATTGAAACTTGATTTACGTTTAAATTCTCCTCAGACAAAAACTTAGGTCTGTATGAATATTCGTTACTTAAAACTCACCTCATGGTGGGGTACTCAGATTTTAATTGAGATTTAGATGTGAATTTTTTAGCTGAATCGCTGCTACAAGTATAATATATCATATATCATATATCATATAGTTTAAAAATAAAATACTCAAATCTAACTTAATACTTAAATTCTTAATACTTAAAAATAAAATACTCAAATCTAACTTAATACTTAAATTCTGATCTGAATATCTCACGTAAGGCAGATTTCACGCAACGACTATTAACACGAGTCTTAGTCCCATATTAATAGTCATTACTTGAAACTTGTTCCACGTGAGATACTCAGATCCGAATTTAGAGTTAGATGAGTTTTTTATTTTAAATATATAATATATGCGCCATTTACATTTGCAACCGCGATTCAGCTAAAACTTTCATATCTAACTCTAAATCTCAGACTTCAGAACTCACTGAGTATCTCAGAAACCTAAGGTAAGTTTCAAGCAAGGACGGTTGAGACGAGTCAGATTAAAACTTAATTGGCGTCGGTGGAAACAAGCATTAAACATTGTTTAATGCTCATTCGCGATATTCGCCGTTTACCTTCGGACGCTCCCCGCGTCAGACTTCTTAATTCTATGTCGAAGCTCCTGCGGCCCAGGGCGCGGCCGAATAAACCGGCGGTCGAGCTGTCATTAGGCAGGTTGATTTGAATCTTCCGAGTTCTAAGGAAACTCTCGACTCTGCTGACAAGCGGATCAGCGCTCTTCTCCGACCGCTGCTCTCCTTCGTCTTCCGCGATTTTCTCTATGGTGATCACGTCGCCGTAAATGCCGATGATGTCCCTCCTGTCGAGCTCGTCCATCGCCTTCGTGAGTTTCCCTTCCACGTACTCCAGACTGTTGACATCTTCCCGACTCGGATCGGCCGCCACCACCAAGGCCGCCACTTGCAAGGCCAGCATTACGATCGTCCTGGTCCTCATTACGTTACGAAAGTGTTGTCGCGACTTCGAAGAAACGACTTTTGACTGTTCGCCCCCGGGGCCATTTTTTCTTTTATACGATTCGCGATCGATGGTGGGGCCGGGCTGAGCCATTTGGCAAGCTACGTACAAGGGCAGCGGCGTCGAGAATTTTAATTTCGCCCACCCTCCGAAGAGCGTGCCTCTGTGCGTGAGTACGCGCGGCGCGCCAACAGCCGCGTGACATGAAGCGTCGCAGAAGTCGGCAGAAGCAAATTTTCCTTTTACTCGCAGATCACTTTCCGACTGTGGAATTTCTCTTGTAGTTTCTCAAACGTTCTGACGCCTTTTTCGACGCGGCCTCCGTTTCGCCAGGACTCCTCGAAGAATATACATCAATGTCTTATCTCGTAAGTATTAATCTCTATCATGTTGCTGCATGTAACTACGCAACGTCATTACGCAAGAACTAATTGCGTAATTGAGCAAAAGTACCTCTCTGCAATTAGCACGTGAAGAACTGCGTTTCAAAGTGGCTACCGCGCACATCATTTATCATTCGCGCAAGAGATGCTCTGGTTTCGATGGGCATAGTGAAGGCAGAATTTAAATAATGAAATGAAATGCTTTTTTATTAAAACCTTTTATCAAAACCTATCAACTTTATTATAGCATAAACTCAAACATACATAATTAATCCTAAAACCTCACATTATTTAGAAAATTACATAGAGAGAATATGATAGTTATTTCCTTCATAAAAATATTATTAGAAACACAGCAGATTGCACAGCTAGTGTTTTAATAACACATTTTAGTTTGTAAAATACAAGTACATTGAGAGGAAAAATGAAAAAAAAATAGTAAATATTTATTTGATGGACAGCATATTTACTTAAATCTAAATTCTTTTATTTAAACAGAGCAAGTAACTGCTTTCTCAAGAAGAATTAAAGTCTCAAGAAAATGTGTACTTTTTTATCTGAAATTTTATATCAGTGTGAGTTTAAATATGTTATTAGTACTCATCAAGTAAATATTTACTAATTTTTAAATATTTTCTCTCTTTTTATAGGGTACACGGAATGAAGGAGTAGTGAATCACTGCAGAATGTCGATCTATTTTCAATTACAAAAAGTCCTATAGTAATCTTTACTGTAAAATTCTCTCCGTGTGAAAGAGTCTCCGCTAATGAAGGAAATAAATATGAAAAATGCAATTACATTTTATGACGCACAGAATTTTTCCCACTCCATTCGGCGAGTGTCTCGTGTGTTCTGGTATAATTTCGTCGAGAAGCCGTTCTTAGCTCATGAGAATTTCTCATTCGTCATCTTTGCACCTGTACACATTTCGTATATACATACAATAGTCCACGAGGTGATTACCGTCTCTCCTTGAGACACGTTTACGACCAGGCGTACATCATCGTCGCCGCAATCGTTCGCGCGGGCTCAGGTGAAAATTAGATTTCCGTGTCTCTTGGTGACACGGTATGGTATGTGAGACTTGCGTCCCCCCGGCCCGAATCGTGAGGTCTGAAGCCGACTTGAACAAGAGAAATGGGACGGACAAACGACCGAGTCGGCGTCGGCGGCAGCAGCAATGGAGGAAGAAAGAAAGAAAGAAAGAAAGGCCGACGAGAGGCGTGCAATGGGAGCGCAAATGAACCCACTAAGTATGCCCATGTCCGATCGGAATCGCATATGAGCCAGGTCGCGCGATTGCAACGCCGAGCTGTCGATGTTTCGCGCTTGCAAAAACCGATTGCGTCCACGGAGGAAATATTATAGTAATTACCTTGAGATTACACACACATTCCTTTCATAAATCTGACTGCACCGAAATTGTGTAGCATAAATCACCATAAAAATAATAAGTTAGGCAATTCATCTGGTGTATAATATAAGAAACGTTCAAGTGATTAAATAATCTTTGTAATGAAGAGTTACATGTCTATTTAACATTTTTAAACAAATATAAAGAAATTTCAGTCATCATTCTGTATGGCTCGAGATTACAAAAATTTCGTTGTAATTTTTGCTACAATATTTTCTCCGCCCACGACGTTCGCATCCTTAATTTAAAGCCGATAATTTAGAAACCGCGTCAGAATGCTAATCTTCGTTCACTTCATTCGTCTTGGCGGATCTCGCCAATTCTCTGTAGACAATAGCAAAATCTCAAACTTAGAATAAGAAAGGGAAACAGGGTGAATTATCAACGAGAAAGAAGAAAAAGAAAAGAAGCGACATAGTACCGCGAAAATAATCACACTCTCTTTTCTCTCGTAAATAATTTATTAAAAATTACAAATATATAATTAAGTAATATATAAATAATCAAATTTTATATACTTAATATATATTATGTGTGTTGATTAAATTTTAACATATATTAAATTTAACTTGAGTCATCAATTAAATGCGTCAAATTAAAAATTTTATTATATATTGTAGATTAATTATTAAATTGCAGAAATTCTAATTATATAAAACATAAATAAGAGATAATTGTTTGATGCTTACAATCGTTCTCAATAATTAATACTTTTCTATAATTCGATAAATTACATACGTGTAATAATAGATACTAATCTAACAGTCGTAGGTGGGTCCAATGGCTTCCAAAGCCGAGGAGCTTTTCTGCTTCGCGGCGTATGGCTGTCGGATATTCGCAGGTCCTTCCGACTTCCTCTTCTTGCCGGCAGCTCGGCACGGAGGATCGAATGAAGAGTTGCACTTAATTAGCATTGTTGTGGCTCCTTGCGTAGTTGACATATGCCAGATCGTGGGCATCATAGTTATCGTTCGCCCTCGCGTAGTCATACGTAGTCACGCTTTCTTTGTTTTGGAAGGTAACTTGGTTTGAATTATTGGGTGTCCAGTCCGTGGCATCATCGTTGTTGTACAAGTACGAATCCTTGTTAAAAAAACTGCTGCTGACACTATCATTATTATTATTGATGAATTTTTGGAACGCTATGGCAACGCCGGACAACAGAGCTAACTTGCTGAAGAAAAAGGCCTTGAGGGTTATCAGAGACAAGCCTATCATTGGCATCAACAAGAAAATCTTGATTGCGAACAAGATGGCCAGTAATATAATGTTATGCTTCTTCATTTTGGTGCGTGCTAATAACAACAAAGAAAAAAAGATTCACATAATCAAGCCATGAAATCAACGTGGGCAATATTAGCGATGCAAACAAAGCGAGACCAACTGTTAGTAAAATTGGCATTCTTTGGATTTTAAGGTATGTATCCGTTATTCCGACTCATTGATACATGTGGAGGAATTAATTATTAATTATTACTATTTATTTATTAACTTTTCACTACTTATTACTATTTAATTATTAACTATTAACTTAATAGAAAAAATGTTTGACTGGATTATGAATGATTCCAGAATTAATCAGTTTAGTTATTTGTTTGTTTAATGAAAGTACACGAAGGAAATTTTATAGCAAATATTAGAATTTTGTAACCGAAGATTAGAGTAACATTCTGTTGTAATACTCTATCCTTTCATTTTATATATGCTGCTTATATATTTTAAGTATTGTAAAATATATTATTAAAAATGTTTCTATATTTTTCACGAAATTTGCTATATTTCAAACAAAATTTACTATATTCCTTAGTAAGATAGACCTTACTAACGATCTATTTTTGAAATACTCAAAACATAGTAAAAGTGAAGAGAATTTATATAAATAAAATATTTCCTCCGTGTATAAAGGTTAAAAAAGCGAACGTTGTTTAAAAAAAGATGTGTGTATCCGATTGAAAGTTTTTGTGTATTTTGATTGCAAAAATTTTGTACTTGAATTTATATTATTTGTTTATATTATTTATATTATTTGTACTTGAATATATATTTATAATATTGTACTCATATATCGCGGAAATTTATGTTCTAGTAGACAAACAAAGTTAAAACATTTACCGAAACTTTCGTGTATTTTCCTTTTTCTTTTTTTGCGCATTTTCTTTTTTTTCTTTAATATACTTGAGAAGGAAAGCGAGTCGCTCGAGGAACAAGTTTATCCGGAACAGGTTCGACACCGTACATATAGATATCGCGAAGGTGAAAGGCACGCGCTTATTCGTTTATACTCATGACGTCGCGAATCCGTGACGTTAATCGTCTAGACATAATAAAGGAAAGGTGGATGCGTGCGCGCGATTGTGTAACCGCAATATTATTCAACAGAAGCGAGAAAGAGAGAAAAGAAGAACACTTACCTTCTTCCACGGGGTGGTCGACTGACATGCCGAATTTCAGACTGTGACTATTCAATAAAGAGGTGCCTGCATCGCACAACATGTTCGTGAGTTGCATCGTTCTCGCTAGATTATTTTGCGGTAATTGACTCAGTATGTCCTTCTCGGACACCTGCCTTCCTGAGACCTCCACTATAATGATAAATTTTTAATTTTACAAACACGATCAGTGTTAGTGAGAAAAGGAGCTACCAACTGTCATAAGCGATTAACTCTCGCTCTATCTCGCGAGCAAGAATCGACGATAGATGCACCAACTTGCTTCTTTTTCTCGAGCAGAGAAAAACATGAGAAGATTTCTCAATAGTAATTTAAATCCAGATTTTAATTTCAATTCTGTTCTAGCAATGTACTTGAGCAGAGCTTGAACTTAAATCTGAGTTTAAACTATTATTGGAAAACCTGAGAATATCATATAGCTAAATATAGTTGCCGTAACTAAATCTGAATGTTAAGGTTAATTAAGATTTCACTCATGTATACAAAAGAATTGTAGAAATCATAGTACTCTGAAAGTGGTACACTGGCCTTCTTTGCTGCTTGTCCGTACGTGTTGGAGCGGAATTCTGTGTATATGGCGCAATCTAACCCTACGGATCTCTCAACCATAGCGCTAGTTCCGCAGACCGCAACAGAGACACAGCAATGTTCTTTTTGAAGCAACTGATGAGGATGTACTTATTAAACATTGCGTGTCATAAGCACTATGACTGTGAGAACTGTAGATGGGCATGCAACAATACATGAACATAACAATAACAATTTTTAACGCAAATTTTCATGCATTTCTAATCTGCTTAACTTTAATTTATATAAATTTCTGTTCTAACTACAAAGAATGTGGTTGTAGCAACCATAACAATTTTCTCTGTGAGACAATAAATCACACGATCTGTTTGCGTATTTCATATTTTATGGAACCACCAAATGTAACTAATAAAATGTAATTAAATGTGTTGGTCAAGTTTGCGTATTTTAGTAAACTACAATTCAGCAATTTAACATGATATAATATCATTAATTGTAACAGAAATGAGTGGATATCAAACGCGACTGAATTATTACTAGATACTAGTAATAAAATAATGTTAACATATTGAGACTGGTACGCTGATTTCCATTGATTATTTCAATATTGAATTCAAGTTTGAGCCACTAAAAATTAGGTCTATGCGAAGTAGTATTCGATTCTGAACCCGGTTTCTCAACTTCGTACAAGTAATCGTTTTATTGAATAACTTACTCCGAAATCGATGCATGAATCGATTCAAGTAGCGTATTTAAGTTATGTATACATGTATAATACGACATATAACTAACAAATGAATGAAGTATCGTTTCACGCGACCCAAACAACTACTTGAACCGATTCGTGTGTCGATTTCGAAGTCGATTATTCGATATAACGATTATTTGTACCAATTCAGAACCAAGTATGATTTCACACAACCCCGCCAGATATGTGGTAAACAAATGCAATTCGCGATACGTACACAGAAAGAACAACTCTATTAGAGTCGTTCTACATTAGTTGCAAGTCTCAAGGTCGCAAGAAAATTGATTAATCACAGTTAATTTTTCTTTGGTCACGAGAAAAATGATCAATTGTTATTGGTAAATTTTCTTGCAACCTTGTGATTTGCAACTAATGTAGAACCGGCCTTAATATATATGTGACCGGCGTGACTGAATATATATGTGTGTGACTGTATAACTGTATAACTGTATAACTGTATAATATATATGTGACTGAATTTCTTGTTATTTGTCCTGGGGACATATGAAAAACTCGGTTGCAGGAACAAAAAGATTCCTGTAGGAGCTTTCTGTTCAGCTGACTGCTCTCAGTTATCTCAGCCGAGTTTGAAGGCAGTTGAATGTTCAATTGAATGCAGTTGAACGAATGCCTTCGATGTCAGTGAGAGATATCATTTCTTGTCAGCAAATTGCTCGTTTGATCCCTATTCAGTTGCATGAACTAAAACTTCTTTTCCGTGTATAATCGTTAGCTCGTTTCTCGACTCTCTAATCGTCGGCTATGTGTTTAATTTATTATATATACAGTTGGTTTTATTTTATACATAAATCAAAATAACTTTTAGTTATTATTTTATGTATAAAATATAACCAACTGTGTACGCGGCGTCATTACAACGCCAATCAATAGTGGTGATCACAATAGCAGTTAATGTGCATTGAGAAGAACTTAACTCCGTTAGTATAACTGAATTTTCTATTACCTGGAGATCAGATGAAGAACAGTTGTGGGAACAAAAAGATTTCTGCTCAGTCAATTGCTCTCAGTTATAGTAACCGAGTTTTAATACAGCTGAATGTTCAAACGTTTTTGGTTACAGTGATAAAGATCTAATTTCAGCGAGTTTGTTGTCTGATCCCAATTCGATCAGTCGAACTGACTTTGTTTTTCTTTTTATGCGTTAGTGAAATGTGAAGCAATGTTAATAGCTTACCTGGTTTTTCCTGCACGAAAGTGACACCGTCGGCGACCTCGATGTCCTTCGATTGCTGCATCTTCCGCATGCCAATGATAGCCCTTATTAAGAAGCAGTTGACGTTCCAGTTGCCTATGTTGCAATCCTGTAGCTGAGATGCATCCTTTTGTTGCTGCGCGCTATCCGGAATGTATGTGGCCGTGACGCTCACAGCCAGCAGCAGTACCGAAATCAGTATTTTCTTCATCTTCCTGATCACCAGAGAATCACACTCTTCTGGTCGTTGCGCAACGTAACAAGCGTAAGGAAGAGAACGAAGAGCGCGAGTACTGCAGACCACACTCTCCGGAAAATTTTCGGTACCAAGTGTGACCTGGCCCTGCGTCGTCTCAATCTTTATAGGTGTGCACTGCAGCGTAGGACCCTCCTCAAATATCCCCCACTCCCTGGACGCGTCGTCAAACGACGACAACATGCATAGTGATGACGATGACGATGACTACGATGACGAGGATGAGGACGAACGAAGTACGACGAGAGAAGCTACTGACTCCCAGGCAGATACCACCTCCTCTTTGGAACTCTTCCAATAACTTTTTTAAACAAAGCCGCGGCCATCTGGCGAGACCGGCATCGCCGGTTGGGTGGACCCTATCTAGAAGTCGCTCTGTCTAAACTGGTTGGGGAGAAACATTTCAGGGGAGCAACGCAGTATCTCGGTCAACAGAGATAATATCCATCAGGAATTCGATGGTCATTTAAATGCATAACAAAGGAAGATAAAGGACCTTAGAGGAAGTCTAGAATCAAAGATCGTAACTCAATCTTAAACAAAAAAATATCCGAGAAATAATATTTATTTGGTGGGTACTAAAAACATATGTACATAATTACTTATACTAGTATAAAATATATTTCAAATAAAGAAATATACATTTTCTTAGGAGCCCTTGAGAAAACCTTAGTTTTTCATGAAAGAAATTATTTATTCAATTTAAATAAAAGAATTTAGATTAGAATAAATATGCCGTTCAGTACACATCAAATAAATATTTATTAACTTTAGATATCTTTTCTCTCGGTGTATCCAATAAAACCATCTCCAGGGAATTATTAAAGAAAAACTCGTGAAGATAAAAGTCGCAATTTTAGTAGCATGTAACTATATTTGACGAAATCATCATGTCGATGTGCAGACAGGAATGGACTGAATAAATGAAATGCTCCAAGGACTCAACCCCGACAATTCCCTTCTTCCCTTCGGAATTATAGGACCGTTTCGCGTCGTGCATGCGCGTACACCACGCCGCCGTGTACCGGCACTTTCTAACTTTTCTAACGTGCGCTACGCATAGATTGTTGTTTAGAAAACCGAGAATAACGACGGTAGGCGCGTGCATATATTTCGCGCCTCGTCGCCCCGACCATTCACGGCCGCACATGCTTCACGGTCGTGGATGTACGGCTTTTCTTGTGGGCTTCTCTCAGCCTGCGCGTGCATCTAGGCGACACATAATGTGGTTCCCGGTAGTGGTTTTCCAGAAAAGCGTGACTTCGAAGCAGGCTTATTTCAGTGCTAATAATCTTTATTTGGAATTTTTCAGTGAAGATGCTTTTTCCGATAAAAATTAATGATAAAGCTTAAAATGTAATACACGTTCAGCTCTTATCAATATCGGTATAGCCAGATAGACAAATGCGCGTAAATTTTGCAGCTTTACTGATCGATTTGTAAAGGTTGCGTCTTTTATGAATATTTCATATGGCATTCATTTATCAATAAATACATATAAATATATAAAAATCAAGATTTCCTCAAAACAATATGTCATGTGCACGGAGAAAATCTTATGTCCAGATAGACTTTCATGATTATTACGATGTAAAACACACACGCATACACATAATCGGAAACTTTATAATTTTCTTAATTACATATTTATGAAATAAATACACTGTATTGAAACAATTATTAAATTTATATCACATAATAATGTAATTTTTTGTTGTATTGATGCGGCTATAAATTGACTGAAATTTATACTCAGATTTTCATATCATATTTAACATATGTTGTTGCAAGCAAATTTTAATCATTTTTCTCGTATTTCTATTTCATTATTCTATGTAATAAAAATATGAGTGCAACCTAATCAATCATAAGTTCAAGACTCAACGTTGCTGAATTTCGTGATTTAATATACTTAAAGTTGGTGGTGTAAAGTTTACGTACATTAGTCTATTGGGATAATTTTTTTCCATCTAATGCTAGTATATTTATCTCAATGTAGTTAGAGGAATCCTAGACTTTTTTCTACGTCATCAGTTGTTTCACGTCGTGATAATTATAATAACCTAGATGAAGATCCTTAGTAGGTTCCTTCTTAGGGCTTTTGTAGTCGAACCCTCTTCGTATAACGGGTTTTTACATCTTTCATAGTCGAACTCCCTTCGTAGAGCGGATCAGTGCATTCCCGATGCGACCACGTGCATCGAGCTGTCGTTTACCTTGACCCAGACACGCTGATCGGAGACACGTGAGTGCATCTCCAACGGGTTTTTCGATACAATAATCAAAGCTAGTGAAACGAATTCTTTGTTTATCAACCCTTGCGTTTGCTCGTGATTATTTTAATTTCGTTGAAACAGATAATAAATTCGCATGTTTTGTTTTTCGTCCACAACTACTCGATTGTATAAAAAAGAATTTCTTGAAAAACGTCACACAATTATTTAATGCAATGCAGAAAATACCTGTATCCGGTTTGATGTTAAAAATGTTGCGCAATTGACGTAAAAGATAGAAAGAGAAAGAGAGAGAAAAACTTTCACCGTACAAAGAACTATTTGGGTGACTCACGCCAATCGATTTGCGTTCTTTCTGAACTCGATGATTATGACGTCAATGTCATTCCATTGACAGCGCGTTAAAAAATCAACGTACGCCGAATTAGGAGAAATCGATGTCACAGCGTGGGACAATAATTCGCGATAAAAGCTATGTCACTTTTGAAACGGCGACCACAACGGCGAAAGGTAACAACAAATAAGATATTCGCAAGAGGTATTCCATTGTGTTCCGCACGCGAATCTCTTTAAATATTTAACAGGCATGAGGGGACTTCGTCATCTTCGTTTAACGGTATCCGACCTGGCAGAAACGGAGACAGTTTCGCGATTGATTTTCTGGGTTACGAGTACCACGTCGCGGCGGGAGTTACTTCTTACGAATAAATACGACTATCCTTACTTGTGACGAATCCTTCGGCGCCGTAAAGACGTGTCTCCCTTCCAGAAAGCGAAGTACTTTTTACTGACTTTATTCATTCGCCGCAATGATATAATCTTAGCAATTAATTGATCATGTCTGATCATGTCTGATATTTATATGTGTCAATAGGTGTTTTTTATAACTATGATACTATTAATATTAATAACTATTAATATTATAATTATGATCGTAAGTATCTTTTACATCGCGTGTAAAATACAGTGCGATTTTTATACTGCGTATATATTTCTTATGGTTATACATGTATTATTTTATATTTATATTATATATATATTTTACACTTTTGTATATTTTGTACATTTAAATGTTAGATTTTATATATTATATATATTCATATTTATATGCAAGGTGTTCAACATAACAGTACTATATTTTTATTATTATATTTTTATATTATATTTATATTTTATTTATTTTTATTAGATCTATTTTTTATTTTATTTATTTTTATTATATTTTATTTATGTTATATTAATTTATTATTATTTATAATATTTATATTATTTATTATCGTCTAAAAACTGATTAATTGCATCTAAAACTTTTTTCCCGTCCGATTATTGTAACTGGTATAAATGGGAATCGTTACTGTGAATACTCTGGACGAAATATCAAGTCTCTTGAAAGGCTTAAGTGATCATAGAGCGGGTTTTAGAGATTTTTGAAGGGCACGGAGAATGTGGAGGTTTGGGGGTCGACGACCGGTCCTATATTTGAGTCAGTTCCGGTCAATTTTTTCTTCTTTTTATTTTGGTCTGCATTTATAAGCGTGATATAACATCTTTTCTCGTTTTTTCTCAGGATCCTCTATCGCATCCATCTTGTCCCTCCATCGCGCGCGCGTTTAACTTAATATAACAGTTATATCCAGTTAACAAACACATGAGTAACTAAAAAACGTTACTTGCATACGCTTTAAAATCTAAGAGAGAATTTAAGACATTAAACAAAATAATCAAATAATTAAAAAGCATTTTCTTGTAATATTCACAGTAATTTATTTTTGTTCAAACAATTAATAACCGATAATAATTTTATGCCACTTCAGTTACAAAATTCATTCATCGTGTGAACGCATTGTGAGGATGAAATTTTTATTGAACGTGTATTTACACAAGGGAAAGAATAATTCAACTCGTACGATTACTTGGAGAGGGACGCAGTGCTCTTGTGGGCTAGATCTTCATACAATCAGGAGAGACTTTCTCTCCTCCTTACATCATACCGGAGAAATGTGACCGGGATACGGGATGAATCATCTTCAAAAGCAATTCCGTTCGACCTCGAATATATATTCGCTGTCACATAATAATAAACAGTCAAATGTAATCATTGCATTGTCACGTCTACACGAGTTTGCTCATTTCTTTCCCAGAACGTCTACCCGGTTTAGTGCCGTCGTGTGTACCGAAGCAGTTAACGAGTTTCGTCGTAAAACGCTACCTCGTTGACGTGAATCTCAAGGAAACTTTTACAGCACCAAGTTATGTGACCAGACTTCATAAGCTCTGTTTTATGCTTATCATATTTACATTTCGCAATCTCATTATGATATCTACTAATACCTACCTACGTTTGATAAAGTATAAATTTATTAATAAATAGAATAAGCACAATTAGTATAAATATGTGTCGCAAGTAATAAATATTATCGTTAACTCGACGTAATGTTAACCCTAAAATATAAATAAACTTTATCCAGACCAACTCTTCAAACGTTACTGTCTTTAAAAATATGTCTTATGTCTTAAATTGCGTTTATGTTAAACTTAAAAAAATATATTACTTATTTAAAAATATATACTATATTTAAATTTTGTCTCGTATTGTTTCATCGTTATAACTTTTTTCAACTTCATTGAATCGTAAAAATATTAATATATTCATATTTCTCGACATTTTCTATTTAATCGCCGATTAAAAAAGAAATCACTAGATTTTGATCATTTTTACGAAAGTTATGAGCAAATAATAATGATCTGGGTATGAGTAAAATTTACTCATATTTAGGATTGACAGAACTTCTTAATGTATAGGATTAATTTTCTTCTCGCTAATCTCTTAGATTCATGTTAAAATAAGACATTCACACATACATACACACACACATTCTCTCTCCTCTTTCTCTCTCTCTTTCTTTTGCTTTTTTTCCAGCGCGACGAATATGTTAATGTAAAAATAAGAGTAATTTAAAGGAACCACATTAGAAAAAAAAATAGTTTTATAGTTCGATACTAATTCCTCTTTCACTTCTTTCTACGTCGCTCCTTGTAATATCTGTAAGGCTCCAATTCCTGCGCGTCGCTCGTGAAATCGAATATGTCCTGTCGTCTGTACTTGTTGACGTCGTGGTTATCCTCCTTCCGGGCGACGCTCTTCAGTCCGACTATGGACGCCAGTATCAGACTCATCAGACTCAGCACGACCGCTTTCCCACTCAGGACAGCCAGTGCCTTCAACGCGACGGGCAGCAGAATTGACTTTATCAGGGCAAATCCGACGATCAAAGGCAGCACGTATTTGTTCAGCTTGAGTTTCTTTTGCTTGCGCTCTGCAATCGATAAGTAAACAGCGACGGTTTAGTTGACAAGAAATCACGACGGAAAATCCATAAGTAAAAGTTGTGTGCACACCCAATGTATTCTGAGTTGCGCCTCTTACATTTCTTGCTCGTACGAAATTGACGAAGATACTTCAGACGACAGAAATCGACGAATTTGTTTTCTCCCTTCGTAAAAAAATGAAGCAGATGACAAAAGTCGGTAAACATTGATGAAGATTGAACGATACGCGATGTATTCTCGGCTGACGTACCGCGCGCTGCATATCGCCCTTTCATTAATTATTGACGTTTCATTAATTATTGTGAATAGCGGTTTACAATATTATATTGCGTTAAAGTAGAGTCTCCCTTATGCTCGCGCGAAGAACACACCAGGATGCACGCCAGTAGGCCTCATCGAACTGTGCTTTTCTTATTAGGCACAATTGCCGCGCGGGAGATTCATAAAATGAACTAGACTAGAAAGCACTTACATTTTTGTCCCGGGAGACTACCCGCGCGCTAAACCGAAAAGCATGTTGCAACGTAATGAACGGCGCTCGCAATTATACGCTTCTTTAACGCCGTTTGATTAACACGCAATCTTCGTGACTTACGAAGACTACGTTTTCGCAGTCGTCTGTTCGATCCTGCGAGTACGAGCGTCATAATAACGGAAATTCATCAATTCGTTTCTCTTTCCCCGTTCCTTTCGAACTCCTTTCGCTTGGAAGATGTTTAACGCTCGGTTTAGTTAATTTCGCCGTAGAAAAAATTAATTCATATTTATTAAAGTAATAAAGTAATATATAAAAAGTAATAATATAAAAAGTAATGATATTATATTTGTAAGAAGTAATTATATTTGTTGTTGTGTCGTCATAAAAAAGCACAAAAAAATTTTGTGTTATCAAAACATGATTAACACTTGTTGATTAACATATATTGCTTATGTAGTGTTATCATATCACGATTAACATGGTGTTCATAAAGATTAAATACAAATGAAAGATTTAAAGGAATATCTTTGTTTGTAAAAGATTTAACAACGTATATATAAATAATATACGGTGATCATTATATATATATATATATATATATATATATATATATATATATATATATATAT